GGAGCACCTACTGCATGCTAGATGGACAGTGCTGGAACTTTCCCAAAAAACTTTCCCAAACATAGCTCACTCCATTCCCATAATCCTTTACAGAAGTGCCATGGTCCCTGCACCAGAGCTCAGGGAGGAAACATACTAAATTCATCATAATCCTCACAGTGAAACTCATGACCATTACAAATGATTTATTAAATAGTCCTTCAGCCAGTAGAAAGGCTAGATGTACAAACAATACAGAACTAAGGTATTGTCAAAATTATCTGACCACGTGGCTGCCTCCTCTCTTCCCCTCTGCTCCAGTAAGTCAGAAACTCCCCTCTCTCACCCCACACCCCTGCATCCTCATGAAGTCCCACAACCCTCCCTTTCCGCCCAGGCTCCCCTCCTTCTCTGTCTAGCTTATCAGCTGCCTTCGAGTTAACCTGATTCACGGCCACCCCACGCACCCCAAAGCACTGTCTGATGGTGCTGCACCATGCCCCCAATAGGCTGCAGATGGGGCAGCTGTAACCCGCGACGTTTGCACGGGCTGTGTTGGGGTCACCAGTCCATCTTCGTGTGGAAGCTCTACTGAAACTGGTTCATTATCCTGACATCACGCAGGCCTCCAATGACACACGGCTGGTGGCTGTACTTGGTTGGGGTGGACACAGCGGGCACTGACTCAACCTGTGCGATCAGACCTTATCTGCACAGGCCCTAAGCACAGGCCTCACTTCTGCTAACTCTCCGACATCAGCATCCTCACCTTGCCTTGCTGTAACCAGCCACCAGCGCCCAACTTTCTCTGCCAATTCCTCCCGAGATGCTCAATGTTGTCAAGGAAAGTCATGAGTAGGCCTGGCACCACGACAAACTCCACGTCTTCCAAACCCAGGCCCCCCTTCCCACCCCTAGGTGGCGCTGCCCACGAGAACCTCCTTCTCAAATCTCTTCATTTCAGAGCTTGCAAACTGGCAGGCTGGGGGTCCGGCGAAATGCACGTCTTGTTTGGCTCCCAAACGGCTGGGCTTACTTGACTTTGTTGCCAATATGTTAACACATACAGATTTCTGGTTTTCCCTCGCAAAACCGGAAGGCTGACGGTATGGGCCCACCCAGCAACAACGAGAGGGGTGCCCCTTCCCTAACCCACGCGGTCTGCAAGCTTGGGGCGTCCCGCCCTCCCCGAGTGATGCCCTCTGGTTTCTGTTCGTTGTTACCGAGTCTCGCGCCCTGTGACCCCTCCTTCTGGTATCTGCGGGATGCAACGCTCCCTCCACCCACCTGTTAGCTCTGGTGTTTCCCAGCTTCCCTCCGGAGCCGTGTTCCACTCCCAGCCTGGACCCGGAACAGCTCAAGTCTCCAATCTGCATCCAAAGT